GGAAGATTAATATTTCTTTCATCCAAATGTAATCGAATTTTTGCTACGCAACCTGAAATGTGTAACCGCTCATCTAAAATTAATTAAAAGGCATTATCCATATTACCACTATTCTCCATTCTTTCTCTATTGCTTAAAATTTTTTTCCAGTTCTTCCAGTTATTTCATGAATACGAGTTTTAAGCTTCTCGACCTTATCTTCTAACTCATATAAGCGCTCCTCCCCAGATAATATATGCTTCTCCTTTTTCTCTACATATTGCAGAGCTTCACGCAGACACTTTTTGAAAGACGTGATCTCTAACTTGAGGTCTTCTATCTCTTTCTCATGGGTTATGATAGTACTATTCTGAAACGAGATAGTTTGATAACATTTCTCAAGCTCCTTCACGAGGGAGTGAATTTTTTTCTCGTTACTTTTATTAATAGATATTTCATCTCAAAGTTCACTACGAAGCTCCTGGTTTGTATCTAAAAGCTTTAAGTATGCTAGATCATATGAAATGGTAGGCATTATATTTTTAATCTAATTTATAGAACGTCATATAATCGTGACCTGAGAATGAACTAATCGCAAATTGTGATAGATCCTGATAAGGCTCAAAAAATTGAAAAAAATATCATATTATGTGAAATATATTATCGCCTGACTGGCTATCATTTCAACCCTAAATCTTTGAGAGATGCATGTAAAAAAGAGGGGCATCGATTCTGCCTAAGTGAATGCAAAGATTTTTTAGAAAATCAAGAGTCTAATAAAACCTCTCCAAAATACATACCTAGAGTCAGCTATAGGTGAATAACACGCTCTAACTGTGTACACCAATGTGATATACTATTTCTCACACATGATCATCATAAGGGTAAAAAATATAAAGCAGTACTTAATATAATAGACTGTGCTTCCAGATATAAGACTTCAGTTCCACTTAGATCGAAGAAAAGTTCTAAGGTTGCTAAAGCATTTAGGAAAATATATGAAAATCAAAATAATCCATTGACATGACCAAAGCTTTTACAATGCGATGGAGGTCGTGAGTTTATAGGCAAAACCTTCTAACTAATGCAAGAGCACAATGTTACAATTTGAGTGATTAGCCTATATAGTCATAGAGGACTTGCTTTTGTGAAGCGTTTCAACCAAACACTCTAAAAAATTCTATACAAAATCCAGTATGCTATTGAATAAATAACTTCTAATCCTACATTAATAAGAGCATAGGTTAGATATATACCAGTAGTTATTGATTACTTAAATAATTATTCCACATGTCTTATTCGAGAACCAGGATCAGAAAAGTGAGGACTCGAGCCAGAGAAAGCCATTGCTTTAGAACGAGTTGAATCTAAACCATCCACAAAATATAAGCGTCCAGTTGGACAAGATGGGTTAAAGAAAAGAGATACCGTCCGCTATCTTCTTGCTAATGCAGAATGGGAAGGTGATATAGAGAATCAGAGGTGTGTAACTGATCCTATATGGTCACCAAATCTTCATAAAGTCTAAAAAGTTGTTCTCATAAAGAATGAACCAATTTTATATTATCTTGATAGTGATGAATATATACCAAAACGGAAATTTGTGCGAGAAGAGCTTATGTTAGCTGATCCAGAAAGGGTTGGTCGTCCACCTCAAAGCATATTATCTATACATATTGCATATACTTCTCCTTTCAATAACAAGCTAGATCAAGCTATTGATTATGCCAAGAAGCGAGGTGGTCAATGCCTAAGAAGGACTGGACGAATAAATAATCATAATGTTTATCTTTGGTTCTGTGAAAACGGTGTGCATCAATGGGAGTATCCATTAAAATACATCATGAAAAAATTTGAATGGTGTCCTCTATGTCACCACACTACCGGTGAACGCAAGTCTTGATATATTTTTGAGGATCTACTAGGTAAGAAATTCCCGCTATGTAGAACTAAGTTCTTAGATGAGTTACACTTAGATGGATATAATGAGGAATTGCGTCTTGCATTCGAATTTCAGGGTCCTCAACACTATTACCACAATAGCTTCTACCACTGGAAGAATGAAAATCTAAAATCACAAAATATGCGCGATCAGAAAAAGCGGGATATATGCAAGGATCAAGGTATATACCTTATCTAAGTGCCTCATACTGCAGATTTATATCTGTTTATTAGACATACACTAATCGAGAAAGGATTCTTGGATAAAGCGAAGCTATCAACCCTTAAAAGTTCACGTGATTTTGAATAAATCAAGTTCACTGAAATTTGCAAGATTATTTTAGTATATCATTAGTAATAGTTCGACATGAAAATAAAAAAGCTTGAACTGGTTGATAGGCTTGTATATCATATTAATGAGATTAAAGATGCCAAAAAATATAATGGACATTCAAGTATTTTCTAATGGCCTTTCACACTTCTGATCTATGATCATACCAATTCTAAAAAACTAATGAAGTTCTTAATCTCATGCTTGGAAATAAGCTTTATCAGATGTATAATGAAAAGAAAGAAGGGATGCGTTATATTAAGTATGATGATTTGCTCTTGATCGGTCACAATCTTAAGGAGGAAAAATATATGTATTTCGAATCAGCGTATCAGATAATTGCAAATAGTCCAAAGCCCTATCGTAAAAATATTACATTCTGAGCTTTGAAGCCTGATAAAATCCCTAAAGTAGATTCCTTTTCTCTGGATAGAGTTACAGTACCCATATTCGAAGATGTATGTGCTGATCTAAAGAAAGTGCAAGAGAAGATCATCCCTTATTTTATTGAGAGACGCCATTACAATGTCAGTTCGATATATATATCGCAGAGTTACTTTGACTGTCCAAAGATAATATGAAAAAATCTTACACATGTCTGTCTATTTAACAGATCGTACACTATAGATGAGCTGAGCTGTATTGTGTATCAATATGCTAATGACTGACGTAGTGTAATTAAGATTATTGACAAGGCTTTATATTTATATAAATTCATTGTTTTTGATTTAACTGTACCTTGTGAACATCCACACAGAATATGTGTCAGCTGGGATATGCCACTTTTTAGTGAGAATCCAACTTCATAGATGCCAGCTTTTTTCTACCTCCCATACCTGCATCTTCAGATCCTCAACTTCACATCATAATCTTTTATTTGCATTAACCCACTCTCTATATTCCTTTTCTATGTCATGCATAAATTTCTCAAAAGTTTATCTATTATAATCGAGCAGGTGCTGAGATAGTACTTTAAGCTCATTCATAACACAGTGATTACTTTCTTCTTCAGATCATGCTTTAGCGTCTGATTTGAAGAACCCTCTGATCCAGCCAGACGCTATTGTCTGTTTGGACTCCACTATCTGGTAATTAAAGTTTTGATTTTTCATTGAAGAACAATGAAAAGGTTGACATTGAATAATGCTTTTACAATTGCCAAAGAGCGTGGTGGAATATGTGTTTCTACTGAATATATTAATGCTAGTATCCCAATGCGATGGAAATGTGCAAACAGTCATGAATGGACTGCAACTTTTAATAATATAAAAAATCATAAGAGATGGTGTCCACATTGCGCAGTTAATAGACCTCTTACTATTGAAAATGCAAAGCAACTAGCTTGTAGAAAAAATGGGTTATGTATTTCTACTGAATACATTAATGTCAATACTCCAATACAATGGCAATGTATGAAAGGTCATGTTTGGACTGCAACTTTTCATAGTATCAAAAATGGTAAGAAATGGTGCCTACATTGTGCAGGTAATAGACCTCTTACTATCGAAAATGCAAAACAACTAGCTCATAGCAGAAATGGGCTATGCATCTCTACTGAATACATTAATATCAATGTTCCAATGCAATGGCGTTGTTCCAAAGGACATGAGTGGAATGCATCTTTTAATAATATAAAAAATGGTAAGAAATGGTGCCCACATTGCGCAGGTAATAGACCTCTTACTATTGAAAATGCAAAGCAATTGGCATGTAATAGAAATGGAACATGCCTTTCTAAATATTTTACTAATAGTTGTTCAGCTTTATTATGGAAATGTGCCGAAGGACATTTATGGACTGCATCATTTAGCAATGTTAAATATTCAAACTCATGGTGTCCATTCTGCTCGAAATATAAAAGAGAACAACTATGTCGAGAAATAGTATCAAAATATCTTGGACCACCATCTAAAATACGCCGACCTGATTTCTTAAAAACATCTGAATATTATCAAGGATTAGAGCTTGATATTCCATATTATGATTATGGTTTTGCCATCGAAGTGCAAGGAGAACAGCACGAGAAATTTAACAAGTTCTTTCACAGAGATGATCCTGATAATTTTATTAAACAGCAAGCACGGGATCAATTCAAGAAAGAATTATGCGAAAAGAACCGGATTGCATTAAGGTATGTTTGGTATTACGAAGACTCATATGTAGTTATTCCTGAGCATCTTCGTGAATTGGGTCTCATTGAATGAACTCGAAACTTTAATTACACAAATACTCCTCTCAGTTTATTTTTTTCTGATGTACTGTACAAGCCACAATTGTCACATTGCATATTATACAGTATATAATTAAAAAATTCAAAGCTCAATACGGGTGAAACTTTATTTTACATTTATGAATAATAAAAATAGGATAATGCACAGCAAATAAGCAGAAGATAATATACAGTAAAGATTAAATTAAAAACAATGCCGAGGGCATTTTAAGCAAAGTGGTAAAGAAGGTACCGGTGATGGTGGTGTTGATCTTTGTGATAACGGAGATTGTGGAGGTGATTGTGATGGTAGAGATGGTTGTGATGGTGGTTGCGGAACCTATAAATACAAAGTTAAATTTCATGATCCATCAGCAGGTACAGCAAATTTAGTTTAATACTTACGGGCTTTTTACGACGTTTCCTTGATGGGGATCCCACATTATAGTTAACCCGTTTCATATTTCAAAGATTAACTTCGCGGGTTCAGGTTAACGATGGTGTTGACCTCTTTCTCTTATTTTTTTGTTAGGGACCCACAACGGTATCAGGAGAGACATTATTGTTTCCTTCTTCGTTAGGCTCTTCACCTATTTCTCCATCGAAGTCACTATCCACAGCAGTACTAGGACTTCCTTCATCACCTATTTCCCTATTGAAGTCTTCATCCGTACCGGAAGAACGAATCTCATCCTCAGGGTCTTCTATTGTAATCCTAGATTGCTTCTCAAGTTGAGAAGTTTTAAAATCTGAACCACTAGCATGCGATTGTTGTTGCTGTTGTTCCTGTAATAACGAAAGGTCTAACTCAATAACGTCAGCATCGATTTTGAATAATAAATCTGGACTTTTCCCCCTTTTCCATTCATTAGTAATTTCTGCAAGCTCGGTCTTCGTTATTTTTATCTTATTGCTTACTTCGGAGAGGGCGAGAAGAATACGGTTCTCTTCAGCTTCATGCGCTGAAAGTTCCCGTCTCTATAAATGATATTAAAAGCTATTTAGTTCTCAGCTTTCACAAGTCCGGCAAGATCTGAATAACATACCTTCTCGCACTCCCGAATGATATTATGCCAGTAGTTCTCCAAGTCGCCCGCATGTCGTGAACATTCTGTCTCAACCTATTATAAGAAAGTTATTGTTAGAGTACGCTACCTTTTTTATTTAGTAATAAAGGAAGGTACATAGCTCATTCCTCCTCCGGAATAAGCAGACTTTTATTAACAACAAAAGATAGAGCGCCTGAATAGAGGACTTGGAGTGGCTACCAAGTGGTCATATCCAGTAATTCTCCTAATCAAGCATATGATCGACTAAGGAGTTAGGGGAGGACCAGAAATGACGTCATTTAAAATTTCAGGATTTTCTCCCTCTGTCATTATTTCCATTTAAGGAAATCAAATAATCACGTGATCAAAAATTGTAAAACCCGAATTCTAATAGTTAATCTTTATTACATGCTGATAGTACTATAAGAAATAAAAAGTTAAAAAGTTTAATAGTTTGTGTAAAAAAAATACAATTAATAGTGTGAAAAAAAAAATTTAGCGTGAAAAAAAAAAATTTATTATTAATATTGTTTCTAATTAATTCAAATAACTATATAATATTAAATTCTAAATGTAAGATGATCCTGTTCCCATAGTTTTGAGTTTTGCTGTTGTAATCTCCCCTCTTTTTCTTTACCTTTCTTTGCAACTTTTTCTTGTTGAAATAATTGATTCCGTAAATCATTATTTGTTATATAATTCATATTTCCTTTTATATAAGTACTTTTTGTATGTTCTATATCAAGTTTACCTTGTGGTTCAAATTCTTCGGTCCTCACATTTGTTGCTTTTGCTCTTGAATGGAATACTTTAATATGCTGCTTTAAAAATGTTTTTGATAAAAAATATTTACAACTTTTTGGCATACAAGATTATTATATAAATCTGGAATAATACTAGGACAATGTTCATCATAGCTGGTAACTTTTTATCAAAGTATTCCAAAGTGTGAACCAGACTTAAAAAATGACCATCAAGACCTTGTACAATGGGTAGTAAAAATCCATTATTTGTAAATAAAAGATCATAGATTTTGGGTACACGTGGTTGTTTGCAACAATTCTGATCCTTACACTTTCTTAAATCAAGAGAATACTTGCAAATTTGACTATGCCTATCAATCCAATTTCATGATTCTTCATTTATATCCAAAAAATCTGATCAATTATGCTTCTCGACATATGTAGTAACAACTGAATAACTGTTTATATTATCATAGCCCTAAAGTTCACAAAGGCGCTCACCCGCATGTTTAAAATTACGATGTCCAATATTCTCATTCATAACGGTAACTTTTCCATTAACACTTCTAAGGTGATTACTATATGTAAATGCATCTAACTCAATACCCACTAACTTTCCAGAAAGTGATACCATACTCCTTTTAACTGGATTATACACAGATTGCTCCAGTGCATGTATTCGATTTGTGAGGTAATCTAAGTCAAGTTTTTTAAAAAGTAATAAATACTTTGAGATATTTGCCATAAATCAGGGATTCTCGTTCAGTTCACCATCCGTCAATAAATACCAAAATGGTTTTACAGAGCCCTCTTAATGTGTAAATTCATGAAAGGATGATTCTCCTATAATTGTTATAAGGTCTACTATGTGTATCTCGCATAATATACCCAAAAAATGTTCTAGACGAACAAAAATTCTCATTTTACCAGAACATAATGAATTATTTGTATTAGAAGGATCAATCATTAGATAAATAGACGGTATTAATTTATGTTTTGCAGCCTTTAAGGAATCATGATCGAAAACTGATATTGCTTCGTTTATTATTTGTATAGTTTTAAACGTCCTCCCAACTGTGACCACACTAAGAGGAACCTATAAAACAAAACTTGAAATTAAAAATTGGAAACTTATATTAAAGAAGAGGTTACAAATAAATACCTTAGCTTTATCATTCTGCAAAATCAATACAATTTCTTTAGGAAAAGTTGACGCAAATAATTTTATACCCTTAACTGAAGCCAAACAATAATGTTCGTCAATGTGACTAGTCATTTCGTTTCTTCTAATGGATGCCAAACTGATTTGCATAGGATGATGATGTCGTTATACCTCTCTCGTTTCTGGATGTCTAAGTTGCATATAGTTCTGCAAAGTAGATTTAGTCATATAGACATCGTATTTCTCTTCCATCTCTTCGCGAAGGTGCTTGACAGTTCAAACCTTAATTGTTGATCTGTACGTGATGGATAGAAAATTTATATGATCACTACGGGGTTATAATTTATATTTAAAAATACGCTTATTCTAAATCTCACGTTCCCCAACTAATTTCAACTTTAAAATGTCAAAAGGCCACTATACTCCTGGAAATCTTATTACTATAGGTAACCTTGTTCTAGAACTTCATTATAGTCCTTTTTTGCGAGATTGGTGGTATTTTTCTGACTCTGAATCTGAAATGTCTAGCATATATCCTATTCTGTTAAGACTTGGCTTTCAAGTTGCTTTAAAACTCAATCAAAAATATTTTACTGTTAAAATAATTCGTAATTTACAAAATCCAAATGTATCAGGATTTATTTGTAAGGGAGAGGGGGTTAATAGTGGAGTTTTATCTAGTTCTTTCAATGCTATAAACACTGCTTATAAACAAGCATTTGGTCAAAGTAAAACAAAATATTCGGGAGTAACATTATTAGGTTTTCATGATTCTTATATAATTCAACAAATACTTGATGGTGTGGGTTTTCATTTTTTATAATTTGTTTGTGTAATATTAAAATTTTCATAGCATTTATTTCACATAAAAATAATGGTAAAGGGTTTGCATCTTCTTTTATATATAAATATAAACAAAAGCAAAGTGTAATTTGGTAAAAGATTATAAAGGGAATATTTTCAATTAGTATTTTTCAAAATGGTAAAATAATAAAACAATTTCAAGATAAATCAGCTTTTTTAGTTTGAAAACAAACTCAATTATTGCAAAATTATGATGATAATAATCTTTTTGGAATAGACCACCTGTTTGTACAATCTAAAATTCAAGAATTACGTGAAAAAATGTTTCCTAAAACCTGTACTCTTGATGATTAGAATAATAAAGAAATCATGCAACACATGTTCAAATTATATTTAAAAAATATGCACCTGGAAATGAAGAACTTTGGCATTGTATTTTTAATAGTTGGTGTAATCAAAAAAGTACAATTATTGAAATAAAAAGTTTTATTTGTAAAGTTTATAGTGATAATCATGAAATTGGTGCACACAAACTTCGCGCATGAAGAGCAATGTTTGGAGCAATTGGATGTAAAAATATTATTCCATTTGAAGGAGATATATCTAATGTAAATATTATAAAGTTTTTGATTGCTTTTTTTATTTATTATTTAGCTAATTGTAAAATATATCTTATAGATTGAATTTTGGAGTCGTGCTAAAGATACCAGAAGTGATGAAAAAACTATTTGCAATTTATATTCAAATGGATTGTTGAATACTACATTAAATTCAACAATAAGAAATGTGAAGTTTGAAAATTATAAAAGCACTGCCAACGTTTTTTGGTATTCATTTCGTGAAAGTTTTGATTCTAATCCTAATAGTACAAATGAAAAAATTCGAATTTTATCAATAATTGCAGAGAATTTTACCTATGAAGAATTGATGAATAATTTACAGGTATGATAATACTATCATATGCGTAAATGGTAAATATATAATCTGATAAAAATTTTACCTAAGTCTCATCAAAAACAATTTATGCTGCCTGTGAATATCACTGTAAAAATGGTCCAGGATGTAAGGCAATTGATAAACCTATTATTATTCGTAAACAAATGGCTGAGATTAAAGAAAGGGAATTTGAATTATTTTTTGCTGATAAAGCAAATGTAAATATGAGTTCATATCATGTTGACAAGAAAACACAATTACCTGTCCTTTATCTTAAAGACTAAAAAAAGCACGTTATAGGAGAAATTTTCTGCTACATATCCTGATAGAATGAAGCGAACTTCCTTTATGGCTCATTTACAAAATGGGAGATTCAAATATCGTGATGACTTAGGTGAACTTTGTCCCATTTGTAATGATTACGCCTATCAACCATTTGAAAATTTGATTAAATTAGTATCAAATAATAATATAAATAAGGAAACAAAGGTAAACAAAATATCAAATTACTTGTATTACTTTATTTTGTAAAAATGCTAATTACAAATAATATTTGTTACTAGAATAAATTGATAACTCAACTAGAAGTACTTCGTCATCATCTAAAAAAGGATTATGAAAATGAATTATTAGTATATGATGACGGAACAACAAATCATGTAGATTGTATTAACCATTGTTTGCTATATGCATTTGGTGAATGTAAAGAACAACACTTTTCACGTTGTGAGGCATGTAATCAATTCTTTGAAGTTTTTAAAACTCTGTCTCATGTATTAGACCACTCTTATAATATATTATTTTCAGAATATCAAGAAAAACTTGCCTGTTATCTGACCCACCAGACATGAAAAAGATATTTGGACGCACAATTTAATGTAGCATTAAATGAATTAGATGAGTATGGAGCTGTTATAGTAGTTGATTATAAAATGCGTATTCTTCCTGCAACAGCTTGAAAAACAAAAAGTGAATTCTTTGGAAAAAGAGGATGGACTCTCCATACAACTCTTCTCTTTCAAAAAAAAGATAATGAAAAAATGGATGTTCAAGCATATGACCACTGGTCTTGTGATACAAAACAGGATGCCTGGTTTACTGCTTCATGTTTTGAAGCTGTATTTAATACTATAAATCCTCGCCTACGTTGGATAAAAATTATTTCTGATAATGGTGATCATTACCATAATTCAAAGCTTATGGCTATTATAAGTTATTGGCATGATTGGTATAGAGTTGAAATACGTAGATGGATATTTTTAGAACCAAAAGAAGTCAAGATAACTGTGGACTCCCATCATGCAACGGTATGTCAACTGCTATTTTTTAAAAAATTATATTTTTTATTAATCAATATATTCAATTTTTTGGTAAAAAAGATTGCACATATAATAAAGCGATATGTTCGTATTAGTTGTGAACTTACATCAGGTAATGATATAGAAAAAGTAATAGAAGGGTTAAGTGGAACATCAGTTGCTCAAATTAAACCTAATTGGGATAAGAGTAATAATGAAATTAGAAATTATGATACAAATAACACCATTTTAGAAAAACCATAATATGAAAGCATCACTTGTAACTAATATTTGTTCACAATCTTACCTTTACTAAATATTCCTCAATTATAGCAATGCTAATGATAAAAGAATTAAAACCATACCTGGCATCTCCAAATGGTTTGTGTGGGATTGGCTAATAACTGGAGAAACTGCAGGATATATTAGGGTAAGATCTCTCCCGAATATTGGTAAATGGACTGAATTTTCTCCTACTAATATAAATACGTTTTGTGGTAAAATAAATTGTCCCAACCCTGAATATACAATACTAACAAAACCAAAAACACCATGGTTAACATCATTGTTAACAAAGAAAGGTATGCGTAAAATCAACAAAATTTGAATAAATTCAGATGATTATTTATTTAGGTTTGCTTATACTGTATATAATAGGCTTAGTACATCAAAATGAAACGCAAAATTTATCACAAACTGAAACTAGTAAGTATAATACATAGATAATAGGTTTTGTAAATATTATAATAATATTGATAATATTATTCTATTATTACTAAAATAAATCTAACGTAAAAGATCAAATAGGATAAATTATTTTTTGATTTTTTTTATTTTATTACAAAAGTACTAATTAATTCGATATCGATAGGGTTGATTCAGAATTTCCACTAAAGTCTAGCTGGGCATTAAAGGAAAATCAGAAAATGAATAATAAAGAAGGAGGAAAACGCATAAGCAAAAAAGTTATATAATACTTACAGGCTTATTTTCACGCAGGTAATCTTAATCCAAAGGACCGGTATATTGCTGAAAAAATGCACGAAAGTCTAAAGGAATTAGCAAATGAAAAAGAATTTAATGTTGAGGAAATTCCAGAAGTAAAAACAATAAAGGGATGGATAGGAAGATATAGTGTTTCTTCTTAAAAAGAAATGTCTGAAAAAGCATTGGAGGAATATGAAGAAAGTGTGCATCACAAAAGAACAAATACTAATAATATTACTTACAATGAACTCAATAAACCTAAAAAATAGCAAAAAAGGAACTAAATTTGTTGAGTTTGAATTTTTTAAAATCTCATTATAAATTAAAAGTATTATGAAATCTGTTGTTTCCCTATATAAAACTTTTTAAAATGAAATGAAAAAAAAACTTTTTATTGTTTAAGTGACTTAGCGGACATATGATAAATGACATAATTTAATAATCATTTTTGGTAATAAATAATTAAAGTTTTTGATTTGACGTAAAGTAATGGAATTAGCAGTGATCTGCATGATTTTGCCTCACGTTATACTATGTTAATTTTTACCCATTATATGCAGATCAGCAATTAATTGTTTCTTTGTGTTTTTTATGGTCTGCAGCCCTAAATTCAATGCTACTATGCATTTTATCCAAAAGTTTAGGATCATTTATTAGGAATGATGGCTGACCCAGTGCATCATACATCTCCACAACATTTTCTTTATCCAATTTTCCCTTCTCTTCTCTCGAGTTCGTTATTGAGCTTCTGCATTACCCTTTAACTTTTTAAGCCTCTTTTCTTTCAACGCAACTGTCTCCTTAAGCTTTCTAATTTTTGAAGTAAATTGTGAATGGAGTTCAGGTGACGTAGCTGCTCTTAATAGAGCATTGTATTCATAAAAATCAGCTTTATTCTTTTGAAGGTTTGTATACAACTACTTTTGTACTGTTGCATTATTTGATAGAGGATTATTGATGAATATGGATTCTTGGGGTTCTGAAGGTTCTGGAAGTCCTGAAGGTTCTAGAGATTCTAGAGATTCTGAAGGTAGTTTTGGAAGTTCTGAAGGTAGTTTTGAAGGATTCTTTACAGATGTTTTTTGTAAAAAAAAAGTTAAATAACAAGGTTGTATAAGTGTTTGTAATAATTCAAAAATATGATTCTGAATAAAGTCTTTATTTTTCAATTTCACTTCTTGCCAACTATTCTGAGCTCGTTTCTAAAGCTCCTTCTTGTTTGGTGTTTCATTATTGGTATTTATAATTTCATGAAATGCAAAAGCATTCACATACTGCTTATAAAGATTTCTGAGCTTTTGGATAATATAGTTTTTGGAACACTTTGGTTCTTTAAAATATGTTTGTTTTATTACAATAATCTAACAAAAGAAAAAAAAACAACCATGTAATTATCGTAAATCAACATTCACGTGGATTTTTGATTTTGATTTTTTTTTTTCCTCTCTCAAAGGAAAAAATTCATTTTACACAACTACCTTCATCAAATTAATAAATACACATGTATTTGTATCAAATTTCATATTACAATTTGAAATTGTATCACTCTTCTAACCTTAAAATTTTGAAATATAAAATATACCACTCTTTCAACCCTAAAATTTTGAAATCACGTCATTTTTTTGCAGAATTCCCTTCAAAAATGAAAATAATATTATGTCACGTCATTTTTTTGCAGGAACTCCCTCTAAAAATAGAAATAATATTGTGTCACATGTCATTTTTTTGCAGGACCTCCCCAAAAATGAAAATAAATTTTGTATCACGTCATTTTGTAGTAGACCCCTCAATTAAATAACATCATTTCTGACCTTTTCCTTACCCTCCCCTTGCAAAATAAAAAAAACGCACCTTTCTATCCAAAGTGACATTTTTTAATTTTCTTGCTTCCTGCAAGAAATGACCAGCCCAAATATTGTCAAAGTTCTTTCAAGACGTTTCCATGGAAGACATCGATGAAATAACTAACATTTCTCTATAACGAATAAGAAATCTTCAAAATGACTTCTTTTGATAATTTCTTAGATATGATACGAGTTCATCATAACTGATATATATTTCTCGAATATTTATAAGAAAGGTAGACATAGTGAGTATTAGCTTAGTGAATATATACGTGTAAATATGACCTAGAAAGCGAGAGTTTGAAGGTGAATAAAAAATATAATATGTCTCTGAAACCTTTGCATTTTTATAAAATAAAATGCGTGTACTCAACGTAGTAGTAAATACTATTTTAGTCCTGTATAAACCTGCAGGTGGTACATTACACTGGGTGATCACTGTGCCCAACGTATTATAATGATCTCCTCTAGTTCCCTGAGATCTTGACACTCTCCTGGCACTATCACGGGTGATCGGCCAATCAGATTTTACGCAGTAATTAAGCCACTGATATGAAACACATAATACACTACAAACAACACATAACACTCTTTAAAAATAAAGATTTTTATTATATTTTTTCAAAGTATAGATAGAGAAAAAATACACAGATTAATGGGCAAAGAAAAAAAAAATCAACTGTAGAAGAATCTTTATGTAGTTACTGTCTATTACCTCCCACATTTGACGATTCTTAGGTATTACCAGTGGCAATGTCATAAGAAGGTGGTAGTCAAAATGATAAGGAACTGACATGTAATTCTTCATATAAGGAGGTCCTTCTATGGTCGACCAACTGCTCTGTATCGGAAATATCCATTTCATCATTAGTGGTTAATGAGCTAACAGGTGGAATTGTTGAGCGTCTAACGGGAAGTGACTGTCTTCAACCAACAGATGGCGATTGTCTTCAGCTAATAGGTGGTGATTGACTTCGACTAATAAATGGACTTTGACTTAACCATCTTTCAGAGGATCTCAATTCGCGTTCGACTTCCCTGGTAGATGATACAAGTGTAATATTTCCACTACCTCTATTTCATCTTCAGTTAAAAGTATTAATACCGCAGACTCTATCGAATTCATCCTCAGATCTCTCCCAAAAATGTGTACAAAATTCATCAAAATATCGTGCACCTGTTCGACTTTTGGCTTTACTTTTACCAGACATAAAATTACACATAGCTTAACAATAAAATGATCAATGTTAGAACTGAACATGAAGGACAATTAGTAAAGCTAACAACAAAATTCTCAAATATAGTGATAACTTACATTATAATCCTGAACAAGATTCGAGAATTTTTCTTTACATTGGTGACCGTTGAATGATGACCCATTCTCTTGATTGATCTTACTTGCAATACTACCCCAGAATCTTTTCTGATTTCTCCTAAGGTTATAAAATACATCGTTTCTGGTTCTACGTTTGTCAATAAGAATACGAATTTGTGCATGAGTCCATTCAGCTATAACAGGGTGCTGGAGTGTAAGTAAAAGGATTAATGGAAGGCAATGATCCTATAGGCAAAGGCACTCAGGCAAAGGATTGAGAAAAAAAATATTTTGATAAATTTCTTTAGGGATAGGTTGTTTATATAGTTTGCTAGAAGTGCCTTCAGCAAAGTATTGTTATATAAAAGGGGATTTTATCTTTTGATACAACTGGAGATCAACTGTATATCAACTGCACATTAACATAGTTCAACCAGAATTCAACCAGAGTTCAACCAGACTTCACATTTTTCGTTATTGTTCCACTTTTTATGGTTCCCTTGATCTGTCAATATGCAGAAGATAACATATCCAACTTGTTTGCCCTGGTAGCTTTTCTTTCTCAAATAAATATGAGAAAAAAGTGTGGTTAATGAGAGTTTATTTTCTGAAGCGTAGTTTTAACCTGACTTCAACCAGACTTCAACTAGACTTCAAACTAATAATATCTATTTACGCATTTAGACTCCTTATTTCGTTATTATACTAATCCTAATAAGCTAAATAAAAATGTATCATTTATCCAGAGATCTGTGAAGCGCTTTAACAGCAGATTCAAATCAATTCACAAATGGAAATCATGCCAGAACTTTTAAGCAAAAAAAAAATATTATAGGCAAAAATTATGCTAGAACTTTCTAGAAAAATGAATATCATCACTGGATTAATTATTTATTGATCCCAATTCTAAAAGACCCACAATCTACTTCTCCATAGATTTGCAAAAATATAATGGTATTTCATAAGATCTTGATTCTGGCTTCATTATTACAAAAATAGCACATCTAGATCTAAAAATAGGAGCACTGCAGAAACATATAAATTTTCGTTCAGGTGATCATACCCTTATTCACTGCGAAGATGATGTACTTACTTACTGCGCATCTCAAAAAATACTAATAGAATCAGAAAGATCTAATAACATCCCTCCATTGACCATTGAAGAAAAAATATTTGATGAGAATATACCTGACGGAAATATCCCTTATCACACTATTCAATTTACCGCACCTATCAATTCTCAAAGAAAATCCGCTTAAGGAGGATCTAAAACATGTTCTTTCTTTAATGAATTTGATCCATTATTCGAATTTGATAGAGCTAACCTGGAACCAGTCGTGAAGTTGTCCTGTCTTCATAGCTTCTATCTTAGATGTATTATTATTTTCTTAAAAAAATATACGACATATCCTTGTTGTTAACGATCTATTTATTTTGGTGAGGATGATAATACAAGGTTAAATCCTCAAGAAGAAGAAGATAGGGTTAAAAAATTTTTTAAAGAGTTATTTAACAGACCACAAGACTTTAATCTATTGTCAGTGACAAATGTAGAAACGGAGAACCCCACAACTCCAGATATGGCGTTCGTCGAATATACAATAAAATACTTGATGCTGAAAAGATTCTTAAAAAAAAACATGTGAAGTATCCCGCATAGAATATGAAATCTTTGACTCATCGAAAAAGCATTGAAAAAGAAATTGGCTGAATTTACATCCATTCACCCTCTTCAAACTGCACAAATCTTGCTTAATGCAGAAATTAAGCGACAATTTTCCTCTGACATATCTCGTAATATCTTTAACAAGAAAAAACACTCAGCTAAAAATATTTACAATATATTTAAAACAGAAGGTTTAGAAAGAGTCAAGATCAAGTGAATTAGGAGAATCTCACCATTGTCTTTTAGAAAATTTACTGATAAAGAAATAAAGATCATTCAAGAAAGGATTAGAGTGAATTCTTCTTGACCAAATTGGCTTGAAGATCAATTTGATGATTTAGATCTAAATGAGAAGGGGATACCAATGCAGATTAATTGAATAATATTATTGGCTGACGTTGTGCATATTTACATATATATAGATTCTAAAAAATGATCACGCCTCTAATTTATTTTTTGATGTAAGCATTAGCTCAAACATATTTACATAGATTCAGCAATATATGATCTGTTTTATTTTTATATGTAATAAAAAGCATTGGCCAAACATATTTAATAAATGATCTTATTTATTTTTATTTTTTTAAAGATCGAAATTTTTGGATATAATTTTTATCATGTGATCACAACTCAAATCAAAAGAATTTTACGGGTCCCTGGTCTAATAGGAGCAGTATCATAATAAGTATATATGTAAAGGATCACTTGACATTTAGCCTTGAAGGGGAAATATCATATGACACTCACAATGGTATATATATAGAGAATCACTTGACACTGATCCCAAAAGGAGCAATATCATATGACACTCGTAATGGTATATATGTAGAGAATCACTTAACACTGATCCTAAAGGGAGTAATATCATATGACACTTACAACCACGTAAAGGATCACTTGATACTAAATCCAGAGGGAGTGGTATCATATGAGTATGATTATTGCAGAGAAGTATAATAATAACGTATTATTGGATACTGCATATAACATATATCGCTGAATAATTTTTTTATTGTTAGATGCGATGAAGAAAATAGTGATGATTATCAGAACAATTATTAGAACCCTAGGAAAACATATACTGAGTGGGATTATAGAAGACGTTTTACGGTAAAGATGCTTTGAAAAACTTTATCAAGTCCAGGAAGCTCGACTTTAGAACATTATATTTATGGAATTTACTAGATGTTTTTCAGATATATCTGATCGAGAAAAAAATAGCCATTATAGAAATTAAAATGATTATCAAGAGCAATGACGTAAATTTCCTGATTATATGTCGATAAACTGTTAAAAAATCATAATAGTAATATATCTATTTTTGTTTCATTCTCCTGCAAATCATTGATTCTAATCGGCTCTATTTTCATTTTTGAATTTCTTTTTAACGACACCCCTTCTTATGATCTGCATATAAATCAGGGATATATTTTTTATTAGTAATTCAGAACTGCGTAATGAGTGAGATATAACATACCAGAACTTCTTTCGGCTTGATGCTGATGGGAAAGTGTATGACAGAAATCACGCAAAAAAAATAATAACTGTGATTATGCATTATCACATGCTCATATTTGTGAAATTAGTATATTACTGCGCATATCATATTCTGCGGATAATTCATATGAACCAAATGGCGTTTTACTGTGCATGGTATTCAGATAGGTGCATTTCAGGTAATTGGGTTTACATATCACAGTCTCTTTTAGATAAGCCACCCACGTGATTAAAAAAAAAGAAATATATGAATTCACATAATTCAGTCAATGCGAGTAATTAATTCACCCGTAAATATTTAGATTTAGCTTATCTACAGCTTCTTTACTAACATTGTAATATCCTCTTAAATTAAGATATTTTAAATTAAAATACGAACTAGCAATTTCTTCAATCGTTATATCAGTAATTTTACAAAAGCTAAGATCAAGTTGTCAGGGTCTTGGACAAGAACGAATAATATTGCAAATTGATATTTCAGAAAATTCTATGTGATTAGAAATATTTAGACATTCTAATTTATGACATGAATTTGCGATTGCAGTTAGACCTTTATCAATTTTCTATTGAAATAAATTACCTAAAACAGATATATTAAAATACTTCAAATTTGGATATGATTCTGCTATTAGCTTTAGAATTTTCCCAACAGACTCAGATTTCATACTTCCTTCAAAATCTAAATGAATTATATTTTGGAACCTGCGTATAATACTTTTAATTTTTTTATTTGAAAGCCGATAGTCTGATATTTTAATATGAGTTAATTTCGAGTTATAAATTGGTTTACGCCCTTCTCTGGATACTATTTTTAAAAATCTTTTTAATTGAGTTCAATCATCCACACCATTTAGCTCAATGCATTTCCATAGAATAGAAGCACTGCATCTGTACTATAATTAGTAAACAAATAGAGTGGTAAAGAGATTTATCTATCAATAAGAAATGTAAAATATGTTTTAGTAATTCCTGTATATTAAAAATACTTATATGTGTTATGTGAAGCGTCTCTGGTTAAATAATGTGTATTATATGCTATATCTTTAATTAAAAAAATAAATACAAAGCTCAGGACTAGCTAGATCATTTAGACTTTGATTCAGTTTCAGAGTTAGAAGATTCTGAATCAGAACAGCAGTAATCTTTATCAAAATTTTCGATATGAATATTTGGATTTAGCTGATCTATAACTTTTTTGCTAATATTTTTACATTCTTCTAAATCTAGAGATTTTAAATTGAAATATGAGCGAGCAATTTCTTCGATAGTCTTACTTGTAATGTTGCAGTAACTAAGGTTGAGATGTTGGAGTTTTGGGCAGAAACGTATAATATTGCAGATTGATAATTCACTAATAAATCTACAGCAACTCAAATCAAGGTATTCTAATTTATGATAAGAATGGACCAGTGCTTCAGTAACTCTATCAGTGATATCATTACCATCAATTTCTAAGTATTTTAAATTTGGAGATCCTTTGATGATGACTATAATCAATTCATTATTCCACAAAGCCATAACCCCACTAAACTTAAAATACTCTATGCTGAAACATCTTCGCATTAAAGTATTAGCATCTTTGATATCTCCTTTACTATATGCAATATCAAGTTTTCGTAAATTTGGGCATAAGTTTAAGATGTAACTTATAGATTTATCTATGATCTAACGTGCTTTGGCAAAATAGAACTCTTGTAAATCATTGCAATTTTCTGCAATTTTAAACAAAGATTTATCGGTAATATTTCTGCAATAAGAAATATTTAGATATTCTAATTTACGATATGATTGTATGATCGCACATAAGCCTTTATCAGTTATTACTTGAGCATCTCACAAATTGAGATATTTTAAATTAGGATATGATTCCACTATTATAAATAGTGATTTATTACCAAAACCTATACTTTCTTTGAAATCTAAATGAATTATATTCAGAAATGTATTCGCAATACTTTTTATTTTTTATCTGAAAATGAATGGTAATAAGTAATTTCTAGATGGGTTGTATTCGAAACATGAGCTGGCTTATTCTTTTTACATATTATTTTTACAAATATTTTCCATTGAGTATATAGATGGGACAGATAGGACCTTTAGGATATAGTGTGAGACAGGTTAGGACATATAGCTAGGACAACAAATCTCTGGGACATCAAGAATTACATCACTGCCTTAGGTTATTCTATATCTGAAAAAGTTCAATTCGAAAAATTTATTTTGCCATTTATCTACCTCATGGTCGGTGAAAACTATCAGAGAGTTAGAGAAGGAAAAAAATATATAATTCTTGCTCTGGCCAGGGGTTTTACATCGATTTAAAATTTGCAGGTTGATAGAACATGCAAAAAAAATATAACTAGGAACCCCCATTCCAAGGCTATGAACGAATTATCTATATCAATTTACATTTTAGTAAAGTATAGCATTAGAACTAATATATGCTCTAGCCCTAAAATGTCTGTCTTAGTAAATGCATCATATAAAGCACTTGGCCTATACTTTAAAGGAGCTAAATTCGGATGATGAAGGAATTTCATAAGTACGTTATTCCTCTAAGCTTTCATCTCTTCATGTCTCCAGCATAATTTTAATAGTCAGCATAAGGTGAGATTATGCCAATTAGCTTTAAGTAAAATCTGCAATAGGCTTATTTTTTCGTTAACCACTGCTAGTAAACTTCTTTCTGATATAATACCCAGATATAATAGAAAATAAAAGAAAAATATCTTCTTAATATCAGTAATTTATGTAAAGGCGGGATTAAAAGCCTTTTTTCTTTCCAATGCATATACCCTCTGAGTAGTAATTTACGATATACTGATCCATTTATAGCTATCATGCAATTAGTTTTAGGATTATAGATTTTTTTGCGAACTTTACCCTCAGGTTTACGTTCAGTTAGTAGATCTAATATATCTATAGTATTAGTATAAAAAGTCGTTTATGACTTATCTTAATACTGAATAATTTAAATACACATTTTATTATAAAATTAAAAGTAAAAGAGAGTTTTATATTCTAAAACACTTACAATAGAACGTGTTACTTGCCCGTATATTTTTAAGAAAGATGGTTCTATTTGTGAGAAACCTGTACATATACTACTGGTTGTACAAAGCATCAGAAGTTATATGGAAAAAATATGCAATTAAATCCATGCCTTATTAATGATTATCCCAGATATACAGATTC